CGCCGGGGGCGGGGTGAGACGCGGGGCGGGGCCTGGGCTGCGCGGGGCGGGGCCCCCGGGAGGCGGGGCGCCAGCGCGGAAGCCAAGCCGCGCGCTTCCTTTGTGCGGCCCCCTGGCCCCGCCCCGCGCCCTCCCGAAGATGCGGCCTGGCCCGCCGCCGGTTAGGGACGTCAGGTTTCGGTTTGGGGCGGTGAGCGCGCCGCTACAAGGACGTCTGCCCTCGCCCGGTCAAAAGTCCCCAGTGGCGTGGTGGCCTGGGACTCCCGCCTCGGCCAGCACGGAGGCAATAATAATAACTCTCAGTAACTGCTGCTTCAATGTGCAAAGCCCTGCATGCCCGCCCTCGGTGTTCTCAGCAACCCTACAAGTAGTCATTACCCTGCCCCCTGGGAACTGAGGATCAGATCAGAGAGGTTAAGTGATCACCCAAGTGACCAAGCTACACCTCCATAAACGGGCAGAATGCCTGTTCTTTAGACTTACTGTGAAGGTTAACTGAGGACATTTATACAAATTGTCAGCAGTGCCTGGCACACAGTTGGAGCTCAATAAATGTTACTTCTCTTTCTAAACCAGGCTGGTTTACACTGAAATGTCTGACAAAGAACATTGATTCAGTAGGTGTGCTAGGAGCTGTAGGAGATAGAAAAGACATATGTGAATCACATGTTTCACTCCCCCTCCCAGCTTTGTGCTGAGGAGACAACAGGAGTTTCTCCACATCCACTTCTCTCTATTCCCAACATTTCCCCATTTTCTTGCCTTTTTTTTTTTAATTTTAGCATTCATATTCCCTGTCTTTTCCCTTCAGGTCTCTCACATCCCATTTTCTTTGTTTTCACGTTATACATTTACTTTATGTTCCCTGATGGTTTACTTCACTCCCATTCTCTTTTCCCCATTCCCGTTCTTTCTCCTCTAGTATTTTTCAAATTTTAAAAGCCCGCTTTCATTAGCGTTCACATTTCTGCCTTTACATTTCTTACTTGTTATTTTGTTTTATAAACAAAGGTAACATAGGATCAAATACACAACTTCTCTCTATTCTCTAAACATGCCCACACCTTCCTGACCCCTCCTGGGATGCCCCTTCCTCAACTCTGCATGTCCAGATCCTGTCTACCCTTCAAGGTCAAGACTCAAGAACAGTGGCCAACAAACTTCTTCTGTAAGGGACCATGTGGTAAATATTTCAGACTTTTGCAGGCCATACAGTTTCTGCTGCAACTACTCAGCTCTGCTGTTGTAGCAGGAAAGCAACCACAGACAATATGTCCATGAATACATGTGGCTGTGTTCCAATAAAACTTTATTTATGGACACTGAAATTTGGATTTCATATAATTTTCATGTATCACAAATTACTATTCTTTTTATTCTTAAACATCTTAAAATATAAAAGCCATCAATAACTTGTGGGCTGTACAAAGCTGGTGATGTGCCAGGTTAGAGTGGCTCAGTTGGTTGGGCATCATCCTGTGTACCTAAAGGTTGCCAGTTCCATTCTTGGTCAGGGCACATACCCAGGCGGTGGGTTTGATTGCTGGTTGGGGCATGTGTGGAAGGCAACCAATTGATGTTTCTCATCTCTTCTCTTCTCTCTCTCTCTCTCTCTCCCGTCTCTCCCCCTGTCCTCAGGTGCGGATTAAAAACAAACAAACAAACAAACAAACAAATAAACAAACACCAAACTGGTGATGTGATGGATTTGACCCTTGGGGTGTAGTTTGCTAACCCCTGCTCTAGATCTAGAACAATGTCACTTCCCCTCTGCAGTCTATCCTGGTCATCTGTACTTGGTAGTAACTTTTCCCTCTTATAGCACTTACCTATAATCTGTCTATGGCATTGATCACATTTCAGTGTTTATTGTATATTTTTTCCCCTGTGTGTTTATCATCTTTCCCAGCAGACCTCAAACTCCTTGAAGGTAGGGTACTGATCTTTTTTCTCTCTGTATTACCTCCCATCCCTCAGTGCTTTGCCCAGAGAAGGCCTTCAAACACATGCAGAATGGATATACAGTTAAATATCTGGTGGTTGACAGTTGTTTCCACTGTGCAAAGCTTACTTCTCTCATTAGGTAGTACCTCTGGAGCAGGATGCCTATTATGTGTATATTATCTTGATTAGATTACAGAAGGAGATTTCTGAGAGCTTTGTAGACAAGATGGAAGGTAGGCAAATGTCAGTTCATTTAGGGGTTGTTGAGTAACAAATACTTGAACAAAGAATGTTGATTATCACCAACCTGTAGACAGGACATGTGTCCTCAGTCAGGTCCTATTCAATATTTCTATCAGCAAATTGGTTAAAGACAAAGAAAACATGCTATATAATTTACAGATGGCAAAGTTAAGCAAAGGGGTTAGTATAATGAATAACAAAAATCAGACACAAAACATTTCTGCCCCGCCCGGGCCGGTTTGGCTCAGCGGTTAGAGCATCGGCCTGCGGTCTAAAGAGACCCGGGTTCAGTTCCCGCTAAGGGCACGTACCTCAGTTGCAGTTTGTCCCCGGCCCTGGTTGGGTCGTGTGGGTGGCGACCACTCGATGTGTCCCTTTCACATCGATGTTTCTCTCCCTCTCTCTCTCCCCCTCCCACTCTATCTGAACAAAATATGGAAAAATGTCCTCAGGTGAGGATAAAAAAAAAAAAATTTCTGCCCCACCACACATTCTGTGCCTCAGTTTTCTTATCTTTAAAATGGCGATGATAAAAGTCCCTGCTTCACAGGGTTACTATCAGGATTCAATAAGGAAATTCATGTAAAGCCTGGCAGAGAAACCCCAGCAAATATTAGCTATTAACTATTACAATTTTCTTGCTAGGCTGCACCTATGGGCTAAATTCACAAGATAACATTTAACACATATAGTTAACTTACTTTGGCTAAAAATAGAAATTGTACAAGTTTGAGACTGGGGAGACCTATGGGAAATGACAGTCATCCTTGTAAAAAGAAACCTCAAAAACAAAAACAGAAACAGAGAGCAGACCCAACCCTCTGGAATTCAGGTGACACAGCACTCTGACCCAGCACTATCACTGGAGCAGTTCATGTGGGGCCCTGGGTGCAACGTCCTGATGAGGAAGGTAAGGGAATTACATTCGGAGCCAGAGTCATGGGGCTGCCCTTTCTTAGCCGTGTGACCTGGAGCCTTTCAAGCTGTTGTTTCCTCCTCTGAATAATGGGGACAATGGTATTTCTCTCTCAGAGTTACTATCATGGCTAAAGGAAAACTTAGAACAGTACTTGGCACATAGTAGGTATTCAACAAACTTTAGTTCCTCCCTATACCATGCAGATCTAGAAAACAGTCCTGTTCCTTGAATGGCTTATACAGCTAGATCCAGGTGCCAACCTATGGTGACTAGTAGCTTTTTTTTTTTTTATCCTCACCCAATGACATTTTTCCACTTTTTGTTCAGATAGAGTGGGAGGGAGAGAGAGGAAGAGAGAGAGAGAGAGAGAGAGAGAGAGAGAGAGAGAGAGAGACATTGACGTGAAAGGGACACATCGAGTGGCTGCCACCCACACGACCAACCAGGGCCAGGGACAAACTGCAACCGAGGTACATGCCCTTAGTGGGAACCGAACCCGGGTCTCTCTGGACCGCAGGCCGACGCTCTAACAACTGAGCCAAACCGGCCAGGGCACTAGTAGCTTTTTATATTTGGGATTATGGTGCTTAATTTTGGGAATCACACTTTAGGAGAATTAATGAAAAGGTAGAAAGGGCCTAAACAAGAATGACAAGAAGAGTAGGAATGGGAGGTCTTGACACGTAATAGGTAAAACAGTGAAAACAAGTCTTAGCCCTTACCCTGGAGATTTTCTCCCTTTTTAATGGGAGGGAGAAGAAAGAGACATGATCACTGTCTACAGACACTGCAGAGATGGACCCTGTTACAATTCACAAGACAGAACCACAATAAGTGGTGGAAGTTCCAGGGGAGCAGATTTGGGCTTAATTTGAAGAGTGACTTTCTGATAATTACAATGGAATGGCTGCTTTTCAAAATGATGAACCTCTTATCTTGCAAGTGTGCCAAGAGAGCAATGACCTCCTTCATGTCTTTTAATTTTTCTAACGTTCTTTCTCCACATTGTTTTGCTTTCCTTTTCCTTGATCCCTCCTTTATTCATTATAGGACATTTATAACCTTTTCCCCCTACTTTGTCCTAAAGGACTAGTCTTCTCATTTCTCCTTCTTCAGTTTCCAAACTCTCTTTCTGTTGGCTCTCTCCACCCCCACCCCAGCACACAGTCCAACGACCAGAACTGCCTCCCTGAGTGGTCGGCAGCAAGAGGCTCAGAATGTCACTGAAATCTGGGCCAAGATTGCTGTGCACCTGGCAGAGAGGGCAGGCAAATAAAGGGATCGCTGTAGAGCCACGGCTCTGACTCTCCCATCAGGGTAGAGGGATCCAAGAGAGTCTCTTGAAACCCAGGTCATGGAAAAGTCCGCTTGTTACTGGGCACTAACAGGCAGACAGATGGAGACCTCAGAACTGAGCATTATTCCTTCAAAGGTGGTTTCCATGAGCTGAACTCATTCTGAATCCCCTTCTAGCTCCCCCTAGGCATTTACTTCTCTTATTTTTGAGCTACGCAGCCATCTAGTCATATTTCCAAGTTCAAGAACTTCCTTTCATACCAAATGAAGCAGAGACCTGAGACAACTGGATACCTACCTGAACTCCCCAACCGGCATCTGGATGTGCACACACCTGACACCAATGCCACGTGGGCCTCAGTCTGTACCTAAAGCGTCCACCTCTCCTTCCTCTATTCTTTTACCCATATACCCTCTGGGTCCCCTTTCTTTATCCTTGGCTCATCTCTTCTCCCCACTTTCACCTACCCAGCTGTCTTGTTGCCTCTTGGGGCTTGTGGTAGTTTCCCCTTCCATTCCAAATGCACCGGTGTAGCGTGCAGGGATGGCAAGGAAGGCCAACTCTCCTCCTCCCCCAGGGGTCCCCTACACTGCATACCGTGAGCTGGGGGCTGCTGGATGTTAGGGCTCTTGGGTACAGGCAGGCCACTGGGCAGGGCAGTGATGATGGCTTGCTGATGTGGTGATGGGCCAGACCGAGCCTCAGGCATGCTCTTCTCCCCAGGTACCACTTCCTTCCAGTCATCTGGGCTGCACTGCTGGGGCTGTTAGGGATAGGACAGAGATGATCTTCTCATGAACTGCCTTCACATTCTGGCCACTTCCCCTGTTTCTGTGGAGCTTGCGTAGAAGGCAAGGGCATTCAGATTTAGCCAGCCCCACATTAGAGAGAGGCCCCTCTTCTTTCTTGGAATACCCAGAGAGCACCACACCACTCAGCCCACCCCGAAACACATCCAAATGGGGGCTGTGGGATTACCTGAGCTGTGTACCCGTTTGTCCCTCGGGGCTTGGGAGTGTCTTACTCACCACTGGTGAAGCAGGCTGTAGCTGTAAGATGACAGCGGAGGCGTGCTGGAACCTGCGCGGAGGGGCGTGGGACAGGCCCTCTGGATATCCATTGTGAGGCCCAGCATCTGGCGTGGGAGGGTGGCAATGCTGAGTGCTGCCAGGCTTGTGCAGGTTGGCAGTGGAACACTGGAGAGGCAGGGTGGATGAAACCGCGCCTAGAGGCATGGCATGGGCTTCGGGGCTGGGCTGCAGGGCCAGGCTCGGCGGGACTGAGGTGAGCTGGGGGTGGGACTGGGCTTGGAGTGCAGGCCGCGATTGCTGGGGCTGCTGCTGCTGTGCTGGTTGCTGTGGCTGCTGCTGGATCACAAACTGGGGCTGCAGGTGCTTTGGAGACGGCTGTGAGAGGAGCTGGTGTGGCTGCAGCTGGGCGTAGGCTGAAGGGGGAAGATCCAGGGTAGGTGGCGTGGCGCGAACGCGCCTTCTGCTAGGTCCCCCAACTGCGCCTCCTCCCACTTCCATATAAAGAAGACTTCCAAACTCAGTGTCGCTTGCTTTCACCTTTCACCTGGAGCCTGGCTTGGTTGTTGTCATGGCTCCATCTCTCTCTGTGTTCTTGCTTTCCTCCTATGCTGAAACACTGGACCCTTGGCTGTCCCTCAAAGCCCAATGCAAACCTCACCTGCTCTGTGAAGACTTCTATGATCATTCCAGCTGTTCAGAGAAACACTGGACTCTCTATGTGCCACGTTCTCTCTCTCCTCCATGCCCCTCGCCTGCTTTTTCCCATGCCTTCAGTACATGCAGCCTCCCGTCACCCAACCCAGCTCTGTCTGGCTAGTTCCTCTTCACCCTCTGGCTCTGCTCGGGCTGCCCTCCTCCAGGAAGCGCCAGTTGCACACAGTGGTCCTCAGATGGTGGCAGGAGGCAGACCAGGGCTGGGCCACCAGGTCCTTCTGTCACACACTATGGGACCTTGGACTAGGTGCTTAGCCCCTGTAGGCCTCAGCTTCCTTGCCTAAAAATTAGAAATCAAAATAGTTCCTACCCAGAAAGTTGTTGTAAGGATGAATTAAAAAAAAAACACAAACCACCACTGTCTGAATAAAATGAGAGAAAGTGACACGATGTGCACAGTATAGTTCCTGGCACCCGGTCCTGCTCAACTGTTTCTAATGATAATTAAAATTATTATTGCAGTCCTGGCTTGGATTCTCACAGTATCTTGGGCTAACCTCTATCATAATACACTGTATTACAGTGGGCTATAACTGCTTTTTAGCTCTCTTCCTTTCCAAATCACGAACCCCTGGAGTCAAAATTGTCCAGTCCCTTCCTCTAGAACCTCGCATAGTACTCGGCATTAGATGGGGTAAGTAAACTCATTGTCCTAGAGTGGAGATCGCTGGTTGCCATTTGCTGCTGGCCTGTTCTTCCTCCATTTTTTTTTTATTTTTTATCCTCACCCGAGGATATTTTTCCTTTTTTTTTTTTTTTTTTTTGTACAGATAGAGTGGGAGGAAGAGAGAGGAAGGGGGAGAGAGAGAGAAACATCGACGTGAAGGGACACATCGAGTGGCTGCCACCCGCACGACCAACCAGGGCCGGGGACAAACTGCAACTGAAGTACGTGCCCTTAGCGGGAACCGAACCCGGGTCTCTCCGGACTGCAGGCCGACGCTCTAACCGCTGAGCCAAACTGGCCAGGGCTCTTCCTCCATTTTAACCAGGCTGTTTGAAGTGAGGATTCTTACACTTTTCAGTAATCCCTTCAATGTCTAGGTCATGCCTTGTATATAGTAGGGTTTCGGGAAATTCAGTTCAGAAATCGACTGTCCTCATGCTGCCTGCTCTCTGTCTAGTGGCATCTGGTCCAGTTTAGCATGAGGGTAGCTCAGCTGAATCTGTCCTCCTAAAAGTGGCTCTGCACAGAGGCTGCCACAGCTGGAGAGCCAGCAGAGACAGGCTGCGCATGCAAGCCCAGAGGGCCACAGCTGGACGCTCACAAATGGAGTTTTACAACCAAACGCTCCCAGCCAATGAGGATGAAGGCAAATTCTGGGTCCTGTGCTGCTTATAGATGCAAAGTAAGCAGATTTCAAACTGGGTTAGGGAGGTACCTTTTTCTTGAATTTTGTCTATATACATGCACGTTTCCAACTACCCCATCACAGCCCAGCATAGAGTTCCAAGCAGAACGCAGTGTGCACGGAAAGGAAAGGCCAGGAACAAGAGGTGTTAAGGAAGAACAAAGTGGTCCTTGGTGACTGACTGTTGTAGGCAGAGAGGGAATATGGATGGCCCATAAGGCTACAGGCTGTATGTCAGTCAAGGATGAAAGAGGGAAACTCCAATAATGGTGATGAGGTTTTGAGAGAAATGTGTTGGGCTTGAGGTGATGGTAGAAAGTCCAAATGGAAATTGCCAGCAGGCATTTGGTGATGATAAGCTGTCCCTGACCCCAACCGAAGCCTTGTCACCTAATTCCACACTGAATAGTTCAAAACTTAACAATCAGGAAAAGCTTGCTGAAATTTTTAAGATGACGATAAGGCGCCTAAGATACTGTAGATGCCAGGCTGTGCCCTGTTAGGCTCTGGCAGCCACACCAATCTGCAGAGTGATGCTCATCCTCACTGAAAACCCTTTTCTCTCTTACTATAAAATCATGAGTCCCTGGCTGTGGAACAGTCACTGGAGGGCTGCCCATCTGAGCTGAGAGCGGATGGAGACGGTGCAGGTCAGAGAAGCTAAGAGGATCGCGGCCCGTCCCACGACTCCCTGGCCGTGTGGCCCCAGATGGGTCCCTTTCCTTCTCAGGGCTTCAGAGTTTTACCTGTGAAGCATGAGGCTTGAACTAGGTGATCACACAAGGCCCTTCCAGTTTTACAGTTTGATGGGGGTGGCTATCACAGGAAAATAGTTTAAAATTCAGGATTTGTAAGGTGGAAAAAAAAAGGTTAGCGAGAAGAAAGATCCTAGATCTATAGAGCATAATTGTATAATTGGGGAATTAGGGACAACACGTTTGTTTACCGAGACCGGGAAAGGTGGCTGCTGGCCTCTCGGCCCTCCACTCCTGGGCTTCCCCTCCGATCCCCCTCGCTCCGGCACCCCGCGCTGCCCGTGGAAAACCGGAGGCAATGGTTTTGAAATAAATTATGTTAGTATATGCCAAGGCTGTAAACAAGGCTCATGAAAACTTAGATAAGTTCACAGGTCAAAGACCCTAACGTATTCTGGTGGAGTGCATATCCTTTTGAGGTTAATAAAAAACATATACCACGAATTAACTGCAGCATTATGCTGGCCAAAAATCCTTTTATCTTGAGTGTTGCAATAACCTTCTAATGGGTCTTTCTGATTCTAATTTCTTCTCTCCATAGCCCACCTTACAGATGATTGAAAATTAATCTTCCTAGTACACAGATCTGATCCTCGAATGGAAGCCACCAGGGGCCGTCCTTTGTTGGCAGCTGTCTAAAGCCCCTGATGTTCAAGATCTTTTTATAACAAAAACTAACCTTTTAATTCTCATTTCTTTGATCTTACTTCTTAAAGCAGTCTTTATTGCTCACTGCCCCCATATGGAGTTTACGTCTTGTTTCATACCGCCCGGAGGGCCACAGACCACGTCCTTGTCATCCTTTCCCTGCAGCCGACGGGGCTCTCCCCTTCCTGGCTGCTGGGGGGTCTCTGCCTTGCACTGCCCTCAGAGACAGTGTTTCCAGCACTGTGGGCTGCTGGGTCGAAATGCTTGGATTTGAACCCTAGCTCATGCCAGTGGCATGCTGGCAAGTTACTTGACCTCTCTGTACCTCTGTGTCATCATCTTTAGAATGGGGGCAATGATAACACCTATCTCATAGTAATGTTAGTAAACAACTATCTCCTTAAGGAGGCAGAATCAACATCATTTGTTTCCTCCAAAGCACCTTGAATTTAGCAGATGCTCAATCAGTATTGCTGAATGAATGAATGAATGAATGAATGAATGAATGAATGATAAATATAGTGGGCTCCAGGTGGTTTGTCCCACAAAACTTGTCCTCTCCAGAGCCAGAACACGCATGAGATGGGAGTAACCCTGCAGACCATTTCAGTTTTATCAGCATTCTGGTTTATGGAAGACTTTCCTCTTGCCCAACCTCTGCTCACTACCTTCCTGTGCTAACCTTCAACCCACCCTGATGGCTCTGCTCGTCGTCCATAAAGCATCACACCCCTTGTGCCTTTTTGGCCTCAGTTTCGATGCTTCCATCTTCTGGAGTGCCCTCCTGCTCCAGTGACCCAAGGCATACGCTTCTTTGGCCCAGGCTCAGCTTTTTCTCCGTCCTTGCCTTAACACTCCATTGTGAGTTTTCCCTCAGAGTTCCTGAGTGCTTTTATTGTTTGCTTGTTTGATTCACTTGTGATATAACGTGTACTATCTTATATATGTATTTCATTAATTCTTAAAATTAGTTGTCTCCCCACCTCTCATTTTAGTGTCTTTTGAATTGGGTACATATACAGTCGAGGGTGTTGGTTTAATTGGCAGTGCTTTTCTTTCTTAGAGTTAAAAAAAATAACGCATCTTACAGTCAGTGGTGTTTTAGATTAAATTAGACGGCAATACTTTCATTCTTTAGTGTGTTCATTTTCTATCCATCCAACCAGATTGCATGGTTTTCCAGTCAAAGATGTCTTATGTTCCTTTTTTAAAAATTAAAAATGGCTTTAATTCAACTAGAAGGTTTTTATGTTTCTTTCATCTTCCACATTGTCTGATGCGTACTCTACACATTTGTAGATGATTAGCAAATGTTCGCTGCTGATCATGGTAAGATCAATGCATTCTCTCCTCCCAGCCCTCCCAGCTGAGTTTGGGGCGAAGGAGGGCATTTCCCATGGAAGCCACGATGCCAGAGGAGGCCATGTCACTCTTCCCTACAGCTAGAATGGGCATATCCGTTTGTGAAATTAATGCACAGAAATCTCTCTAGACCTTCCTTCTTATTTTTCCCTAATGTTCAATAGTTTCATTTCTCCCCTTCACCCATTTTGGCTCCCTCCCCCCATGTTGCTGGAAAGTTCATCCCTTCCAAGGATCAAAGGGTTGGTTCTGTGGGACCTCAAGCACAGCTTTGGAAGGCTCACCAGCCCTTTCTGTTATGGAGCAGGGGAGGGCTGGCCTCAGGCCTGCACAAATGAGGGCCCAGTGAAAAGGAGACTCTAGGGAAGGGTCTGGTGCTCTAACCTTGAGCAGCCTCCTTAGAATCTGAAGAGGCCAATTCACTGTTCCTACACCTCGGGTTGTTAGCAACAAAAGGATTAAGGTCCTCCAGGCAGGAGGGCCGACTGTTGACTGTGAGGGATTACTGGCCGCCCCTTCACTGCATCCACTGTCAATTTATCAATAATGGATCGCTATTGATCCCAAGGCTTCAAGTATGAA